GAACTGGGACAAGCGACGGGAGCTCACTCCGTTGTGTGGATTCAATCTTACGACTGCTGGTCTTCTGACCTTGCTGCACAGAGGCTTCTGCGGTTTAACCCATAGTGCCACCACATCCCTATTAATTAATATATGTTATATAAATTAATTAATATACCACCCTATTAGTGCAGTGCACTAGTCTGGATGGTTTACAAGAATAAAACACAATGATCAATACAACTAAAATAAAAACACACTGAGAATAGCAATAATTAATTTAATTATTAATTAATTAAAAAAAAAGAGAGAGAGAGATGATAGGACCCAAAGTTGCATTGATTGACTTTCTCCCCATTACTCCAAAGGTGTGGAAGATTGTTTAAAAAGGGATATTAGATAATGTTCCAGTCGCTGCTCAGGCAGAAAGTAATTTCTTTAGGTGATCAGTGCTTCAGTACTGAATCTGAACTACATCCCACCAAAGAGAAAAGGATGGAATTCAGTGACTGAAGCATTTTCTCTGGAGCACAGAGTTGCAGAGGTCAACCCCAGTCTTCTTCATTCACTCACATGCTACATAGAGGTGGAAACTCCCTTGCACCGATCCTCGGCCATTCACGGCTTGGCATGCGTACCAGCCCTCATCCTTGACAGTCAAGTCCGTCACTTCTAGAGTGCTATTAGGCCAGTTCTTCCCATCTGGCTTGGTCCAAATTGCTGAGACTGGAGGGTAGCTCTCTGCGTTGCAGAGGATCCGTAGGGACTCTCCTTCTTGAGCCATCAATTGAGAGCCATTGGCCACTTCTCTAGAGTAATCTGTAATCATAATAAAGTTGAGTCATCACTACAAAAGAAAAAAAATAGCCTCCTGTTGGAGACGATCTCACTATCAGATACTGGCTTTTGCAACATTAGGCTCTCTTTTACCATGAATGAGTTCTGGGTTTCTTGTTGAAGCTCGGGAGATGCTGAAGGCCACTGTTCTGGGAGCATCTGGAAGAGACAGATCAAATGAACTACAATGGGTATGTTATGCCCATCTTTTCCCATCTGGTACCACCTAGAGCAGTGGTGTCCAACCTTGGGCCTCCAGATGTCTTGGACTACAACTTCCAGAAGACTTCACCACCACCTCTGCTGGCCAGGATTTCTGGGAGTTGAAGTCCAAGAACATCTGGAGGCCCAAGGTTGGGAACCACTGACCTAGAGGCTCCTTGCCATACCTAGCATGGCCAAGAGTCAGAAATGATGGGAGTTTTGGTCCATCCAAAATATAGGATGGGTACCAGGCTGGAGAAAAGTGCTTTGCACTAATGAACTACAGTACCTCTGGATGAAACAGAGGGTTTCCTAACAATCTTCAAGGAATGCTGGTCCAGCAAAGGCTCTGGGATGAAACAGTTACTCATATTTAATGTGCACTGGAGGTGTGTACGAACAGAGGTTTGACACTGAAATGTCCTCAATATTAAGATTAGAATCCAAAATCTGTTATACACTCCATCCCCTAGAAGATTAATTAGGATTTTCCTTAATCTAGATAACATATTATAAATGGTTTTTTAATTGTACATGATATCGTCTGCTCCATTCATTGTTTATATTTCCAAACCACTGCATTTTTGAATTGGATTTTCGAGGGGATCTGAGAAAGAAAGAAAAATACAGATTGAATTCTATGCTGTGTTATTTTTTGGGGGGGGGGCACTGTGAGAACCAGCCATTTGATGTTAAGTACTGTAAGTAAGTAAGTAAGTAAGTAAGTAAGTAAGTAAGTAAGTAAGTAAGTAAGTAAGTAAGGAAGGAAGGAAGGAAGGAAGGAAGGAAGGAAGGAAGGAAGGAAGGACGGACGGACGGACGGACGGACGGACGGACGGACGGATGGACGGACTTCCTGAGATCCAAGCCAGCTATCAAATTCTGCTTTAGCATATTAGCCCCACAAATGGGTGGCACAGAATACTGGCAAGATTTGTGTTAAGGAACACAACGGGAATAAAATAAAAGTAAAATCACAGTGTACGCAGAGCATCTATATAGAAGACCATATAAATAACTCCTTAAACAGAATTAGCTTCACCTGCCTTTCCATTGAGGCCCTTTGGGGCATGTCTCCCTTCTGCAAATACTCTTAAGTAACTGGGAGAAATCTTATCCAGCAAATATGCATGAAGGAGTGAAAAGAAAAGAAATAGGAACATTCATAACCCATGTAACGGGAGGCGAGCGGAGAGAAGCACATCCTGTACTCTCTATATGAAGCTGGACAGTTTTTAAACAAAACATATCCATGTGCCCTCTTCTGGTGGAAGATAACATTTCTCTTTGCAAAAATGTGTGGTTTTACCTCCAGAGGGCACATTTCTTCAACTGTTAGCAATGCTCTGTAGGGTTGATGGGTGGTTTCTGAGGCTTTTATAGCTCCCCTGATGAATAATAGCTATAATGTGCCATCCGGTCAATTCTGACTGAGGGTGACCCTCTTCAGGGTTTTCCAGGTAGAGACTCCTCAGAAGTCGTTTCCCCTCCCCTTCTTCTGGGATCTGGGCAGCTCACCTAAGGCCACAGAGGCTGGTTGTTTCCCCAAGAAATTTGACCCAAGGAAAAATCTTTTATAAGGAATTCCTAAAAAGATGGTGCAGGCCTGTATTTCTTTTGCAACTATTTGTTTACTTGCGGCTATGAATCTGTTGGTGCTGGAGGAGACTCTTGAGAGTCCCCTGGACTGCAAGGAGAACAAACCTATCCATTTGTGAAGGAAATCAACCCCGAGTGCTCACTGGAAGGCCAGATCCTGAAGCGGAGGCTCCAATACTTTGGCCACCTCATGAGAAGAGAAGACTCCCTGGAAAAGACCTTGATGTTGGGAAAGAGTGAAGGCAAGAGGAGAAGGGGACGACAGAGGACGAGATGGCTGGACAGTGTCATTGAAGCTACCAAGATCAATTTGATCAAACTCTGGGAGGCAGTGGAAGACAGGAGGGCCTGGCGTGCTCTGGTCCATGGGGTCACGAAGAGTCAGACATGACTAAACGAATGACGACAATTCTGTTGGGGGGGGAAACGGACCGCCCGAGGCTTATCAAGCAAGCTGCGCTCACACATTGGATGGGGTGCCTCTTGCATGACCACTCGTTATACCATCAGTGGCGTGACTGGCTGCGTGAGGGGCTTCCCACCAAACGGGGCAACTGCTTGCAGGATTAACTTTGTGTATTTTCCCCCTTACAGTAGGATTTTGGGCTCTGTCTCTAAGTTGCCAGAAAACTGTCGTTTCAGCTGTACTGACACCGTTTGCCATGTAACCACATCTGTGCACACTTCCAGAGATCTCAACAACAACAACAACAACGGAGGGCATGTTTGAGGAAATTAGAGCATCTATCATACGACACAAAAGCTATGTAGGAAAAAAATTTCTCCATTAGGTCTCCCAACAGCCCTCCCTTACATTCCACAATGACCGTGACGTTCTCCTTGATGGCTCCGAGACGGTTTTCTGCTTCGCACTGATACTCTCCAGCATCCTCCGGTTTGATCAAGGAAAAATGAAGCAACCCATCCATGGAGATCTTGGTGGTGGTGCTCAGCTTCATCCAGGTCAAGGTTGGTTCAGGCTTGCCGTGAGCCTCACAGAGCAGGTTCAATGAGTCCCCTTCCTGAACCACTACATGCTTCAAACTCTGTGGGGATAATAAGTCTGCAAAAGAAACACGGCTTGGTTATAACAGTCTTGGGGGAAACCCTTCCTGTTCAGAAAACCTCTTGTGGCTTTTCGAGATGATCTTTTACACCACTCCGGAAACATCTGTGACCCATGAATCCTACTGCAGCCTCTCCCTCTCAGTTATGCATTGCTGCGACCCAGCATGTTCTTGAGAACTTGCTTTTCTCCAGAAAAACAGTAAGAACAAGCTGTAGGTGTCGTGGCTCTGATACATAGAATCTTGGGATTTGTAGCTTCGTGAGATACAAATACAGTGGTGCCCCGCATAGCGACGATAATCCGTTCCAAAAAAATCATCGCTATATGGATTTATCACTATGCGGGGCAAAAAAGCCCATAGGAACGCATTAAAACATGTTTAATGCGTTCCTATGGGCAAAAAATTCACCGTTATGTGGAAATCCTCCATACAGCCACCATTTTCACTGCCCGGTAAGCAAGGAAAGGGCGCGAAAACACTGCGGGCAGCCGTTTTTTTTACCCAGCAGCCATTTTGGAACCACCGATCAGCTGTTTAAAAAAAACATTGCAATGTGAAAATTGGTAAGCGAAACACCGATCATCCCAAAGCGATGTTTTACCATTAAAAACATCATTATGTGATCATTTTTGTGATCACAAAAAAATCTCTATGCAGATTTGTCGTTAAACAAATCGCTCATTATGCGGGGCACCACTGTAATTCTTTGCTAGACTGGTCTAGTGCAGGAGTTCTCAAACTTGGATCCCCAGATGTTCTTGGACTGCAATTGCCAGAATTCTGCAATTCCCAGAATTCTTCTCCACCAGCTGTGCTAGTCCATGAACACCTGGGTGACCCAAGATGGGCAACCACTGCCCTGAAGGATATCGCTAAAGATTGGCTGCTGAGGACAGACCCGGCTGTTCTTGAGATCCTAGGTTTTGTCAGTGCAGAAAGATTATAAGGGATCACAGTTTTATGGCTTCAGGAGGTGGTTTTCGGTAATGATGATTGGAGAGACAATGAATCCAAACATTTGACCTTTACATATGGAAAGATGCAATGCTTTGTTTTAGTGCTGAGTTTTTACTTGGAAAGGAGGGATGGATGGCCCAAGAGCATACATTAAAAAGCACTTGAACATCCATATTTTGCATGCAGGTTGACACAGACATACAAAAGCGTTTTGCATTTCAGATCTCACCAGCGTGTTGATCGTCTTCTTTCTTTCTGATTCTGACGATCTGAGGTTGTTCTAAAACACAAGATGGTGACCAGTTAGGCTACCAAAAGAATTGCTGGAGGAAAAGGCGAAGAGTAAAGTGGACCAGGGCTTGATCCAAAGGCCAGAGGCAGTGACAGTTCATGGCCAGCTTACTTAACATATGTCAAAGTGGAACACAGTTCCCATGGTCCACAGCAAAATGAGATGCTTGCAGCAGAAGGCGCAATACAAAGGATAAGATGAGAAGTCTAACACTCAGGATTGCAACAACTTTCAGACGGCCTGACGGTGTGAAGGGAAGAGGAAGTTCATGTTTCTCATGCTTCCCCTTCCACAACCACAACATGACACTAGAAACAGAACACTCAGGTGTATTTCGACGAGAGTGCCTCTGTGCTCCTGCAGAGAGCCACTAGAGATTAGGGTCCCTTGTTCCCTACTGGCCCAGGGGGCACTTGGAGGGGACCTTTCGCAGCGTGCAAAGAAGTCTTTTTGAGCTGGACTTGGGGGTCATTTGCCCCCCCAGATGCTGTTGGATTACAACTCCCATTATCCCCCCCCACCGGCTTTACTGGCTAGGCCTAATGGGAGTTGCAGTCCAGCATAGTCGAGCAAGACCGTGCCTTCTGGATAACTGGTGGAGAAGCAGCAATCCAAACCATGCCTTCTGTGGGGACGCATCCTGCGTAATGGAATAGAGGCGGTTGCTCCCGTCTGGGGCAGAATACACTCTGCCTCAGAGCGATTCCCCTCCCGTCTGGTGTCTATGAATCCCAGTGAGAAGGTTTGGGAGCTGCAGCAGACAACACGTGTCCAAAATCAAAAGAAGGAAATGTCTACTGGAGACATTACCCTAATATCGATGAGAAAGAAATGCCACTTTTCTACTGGATGGAATCCTATTTCTTAAGGCGCATTCAGATAGCAGTAAAACTCAAATTTTGGACCACTTGTAGTCCAGTATGAGCTATTTCCCAGCAATTACAAAACATAAAGGAGATCCTGGCCCTTCTCCATATTCAATCTGGATATTTTCAGTCCAGAGGCAGGATTCCTCTTTTTCCTTCCTTCCTTCCTTCCAATTACACCAGTGAAATTTCAACAGTGTAAATTTTAGTAGCGAATTACTGCCAGTTAGGAAGTTGCAGCTTGCATTCCTTGCCACAGGCCAAGCCCTATGACCGGTGTGTGACATGCAGTACGAGTGCCGAATCCCTAACTCGTGGTGAGTGACCTTTGAGATTTACATCACAAGACTTATAAAAGCAGGCATAAGTAGTAGGATTTTGGCTCTTATTTTGATCTGTTTTTATTACGTTTTTGTTTTTTTAAAACTGTAAGACGCCTTGAGTGGTATCTTTAAGAAAAAAGGCAAACATAAATGTCATAAATAAATGATCTCACAGTGCTCAAAGATGTTGCCCAAGCTGCAGAGAGGTATTTTCCCATCCCCACAATTTTTTTTTAAAAAAGCGGGATATCAATATATTAGCAGGAAACACTTGCCTGTCATCATAATGTGAGGTGAAATGTGTTTTGGAGGCGAATAACTGTACTTTAGCCTGCTGCTCCCGTGAATTCTCAAGTAGTAGTTCCCCTCGTCTTCGGGTTGGGCATCCACAATGAGAAAGGAACAGTTGCCTTGATTTGGATCTCCCACTCCAAAGAAACGGTTTTGAGTCAATTTATCCACAGCCTGTGGGTTTGTGGCCATAAGAATACCAGGAAAGCACCTTGATGGGCTGTAATCAAAACAGTGTCTGGTTCCTTCTGCAAACTTCAACCAGTAGACAGTTATTGTCTCCCCCAACCAGTAAGCATCTCTCCTGTTATATGTGAACTGGCAGGGAATGTAAAGGGAGGAGCCTTGTTGCACATAAGAGGAGGGAGGCACCGTCACCGTATACTCAAATGATGATGCTTGGCTCAGCAGACCTACCAAAAAGAAAAGGAAAAGACAGCAAAATTATTGGAACAAAATACTAATGCATGTAGCAGGTGGTTTTGCTTTGGGACTATGAACAGACTGATACTCAGATTGACCAGACTGCGTCCCCATCGTGGCTTTTCTAGATCTACATTCAGATTGGTACTCTTAGGTTTTCTTCATTCTTTCTCTGAAGTCACTTCTGGGTGGTCTCATCTCATCTTCCATCGGAATAGAACAGCAGACTTACAAACACGGAAACCAGGTTTAGAAGCTTCTGTAGTTAAGTTTAGTGATTCTTTTCTTCCTTTGCTCTCCTTAAATCCCCAGTAAAGTCGCAATAAGCTTCCTTTTTACCTTGCTGTTCACAATAAGTATTATATGCTATCACGTCAATTCCTTACCAAGACAAGAAAGACCCTTTGGAGGTTTTCTTGCACAGAAATGGTTGACCAGCCCCTCCTTCTGTTAGTGCTTTGAGATCATGTGGCTAGTCCAAGATACTTAAGTGGCAAGACATGTAGTCATATTAGCCACACACTGTCCAGGTGTCTTCAACTGGCCCCTCACCTGGGAGGTCCCATCAGAATTCACACTCCTCCCCCTTGGCTTCCCAGAGAGGTGCCCCAACTCACTGAGCTATACGATTTCCTTTATTGTAGGAAAACAGGGCAGAGGAGATTTCTCATTTTGATTTTGTGATGCATCTCTGAATAATACCTACATACACACACAATGATTCCTTGTGTCATATTAGTGTGCAAAACGTTATGTTTCCTTCCCACTCTGAAATCTATGCATTTTTGATACTATTTTTTAATAATATATGTATTTCTCTAGTTCACAACTAATTTAAGTGACTATCCTCTTTCACTAATGTGGATGTCTCTCTATTTTTTTTCAACTGTGCACATTTTCATGTACACTTTTTAAAATGTGCATGCTATTTTGTGCATATTTTAATATCCTGAAATGCCCTGCAAGCCTTATAAATATATGAATGCTCAAAGTCAGGTAAATGTCTTCCTGAAACGAATCTTGAAAGGTCTCTGGACCTTTAAGCAAGACTATCAAATCCAACAAAATTCTTTTCCATTTCTATCTTCTTGTTGGTGATGTGTGCTGTTAAGTCAAAACTGACTTATAGTGATCCTAACAGGGTTTTCAAGGTAAGTGAGATATTTAAGGAGTGACTATACCAGTCTTACTCCCCTGGTGAGTTTCCATGGCTGAGCATGGATTCGAACCCTGTCTTCCAGAGTTCTAGTCCATCACTCCATCTACTACACCACACTGGGAACCTTCTATCTTATGTAAAGGTAAAGGTTCCCCTTAACAATTTTTTGTCCAGTCGTGTTCAACTCTAGGGCATGGTGCTCATCCCCGTTTCCAAGCCACAGAGCCAGCATTTTGTCCGAAGACAATCTTCCGTGGTCACATGGCCAGTGCGACTTAGACACGGAACGCTGTTACCTTCCCACCGAGGTGGTCCCTATTTATCTACTCGCATTTGCATGCTTTCGAACTGCTAGATTGGCGAGGAGCTGGGACAAAGCGACGGGAGCTCACCCCGTCCTGTGGATTCGATCTTACGACTGCTTGGTCTTCTGACCCTGCAGCACAGGCTTCTGCGGTTTAGCCCGCAGCGCCACCACGTCCCTATCTTATAACTGGCTCCCAACTATTCAATAGCTATAAGCTCTGCCATACTATGTCAGTAAATATCAAACAATACTGATGAAAGTTAAGCAGAAACAGACAGAAATCAGTTCCAGCTCTGCACAAAGGAAACCAAGCACTGTAAACAATCAAGTAATATAAGACATTGCTATGTGATTACTGTAGGTTGGATAGCTCAATGGTTCGGGTCTTTGGCTGCAGAGCCATAGGTTGGGAGTTCAATTCCTCACTGGTGCTCCTAGGGGAACAGCCAGCCTATGTAGTCTTGGGCAAGCTGCCACAATCCCAGGGCACACACCCCCAGAAGAAGGGGATGGTCAACCACTTCTGAATATTCTCTATCTGTAAAACCCTGGAAAGGGTTGCCATAAGTCAGAATTGACTTGGTGGCACATCATCATCAGGTTGGAAAATGCTGGTAAAGCTCAGTGCATAACAGTATTTATTTCCAATGTTTTCTTCCATGCGATCATTGTTCATACCTTTGCACAAAAAGGCAAGGATCAGGATTATCTGCATCACCCGCAAGGAAGACTTCTCCCATGGGAGGTCCACGGCCTGCCATGTTCTCCCATCTTTTGCCATCTTCTTGGGAAGAAATGCTGCTGTTGAGGACAGAAGCTCTGTAGTGGAGGAGAAGCAATGGGCCAGAATCCAGTGAATACTTGAGCAATGTCTGCCTGGGGCTGCGGCCACATTGGCAAACGAAACTGGACAGATATTTTTCCAAAGTTCTCCATAACATGCAGACACATATACACATCCCATGGAAACACAGTGGTCTGATGCAATTTGTTGCAGTTGTTTCTATATCATATCAGTTTTTATCTTTCTCTTTTCCGGTCCATGTACTGGTGATCTAGCACTAAACTGTGTAGTGATACAGTGATATAGCGCTAATCTGGGTAGTTTGTTTAAATATCCTGGTTGCACAATCAGACATATAACTGAGATAGGCCCATCAAATACCTACAATTAGGTATTTGATGGGCCAATAACTGTTGGCAAGGATGGTCCTGGAAAATGATAGGTCCTGGAGGAAGGAGTGGGGGAGATGTGGCCCTCCAAATAACTCTTGGAAACTGTTCAGCTCCCATCTGCCAATGAGGGAGAATGATGGGAGTTGTAGTCCTGCATCATTTGAGCCACACATTCTTATCCCTGTCTGTGAAGAATGAACATAACCCCAGAGGGAATGAAGTTCAAAAAGTTCATCTTGACCATCAGCACATGGGACGGAAGCTTGGGTTGCCCTCAACAATGGGGCGATCATGGTGGTCTATCTCAAGAGGGCAGGCATGATCTATTTTGATGCTAAGATGGAAAATCTAATAGACTAGCATATAAAATAAGTACATAAATAAAAATTTAGTTAAATTTGCATTTTGTCATAAAGTCTTCCACCTCAGCATCAACCTCCCCAGAAATCCTGACGATGGGGGAAAGGAAAGAAGGGGAAACCCCAGCTCAGCCATTTCACCCGACTTTCTCTTAGCAAAATGTGGTTCTTTGTAAATCTGTACAAATAATACAACTACCATATTTTTCGCACCATAAGACACACTTTTTTCCCACAAAGCAAAGAAAACAGATTATATTTTCCTGTTTTCTTCTCCTAAAAAATTGGTGCGTCTTATGGAAAGGTGCGTCTTATGGCCAGAGATAGGGAACTTGGGGCCGTCGTTCAACTTCATCTCCCAGCATTCCATAGCATTAGCACTACTGGCTGGGGCTGATGGGAGCTGTAATCCAAGCCACACTCCCACAGAATACATCCCCTGCCATCTGTCCCACCATATGCAGAGGGCAAGTTAAGATGTACTCAAGACATGGCCTTTTGACAGCAGGTTGCAAACTGCAGGGTTGGTGCAGGATTTGATACCTGCGCCTTCTTTGTTTTATTCATTAACATGATTTATTTGTTACATTTACTCCACATCTTTCTTCTTCTGACTCCGGGCAGCACACATATATTTTCTCTTCCACCATTTTCTATCACAACAATAACCATAACCCTACAAGGAAGTAAGAGAAAGGAGAGAAAGGGCAATTGATTAATTTCCACTAATCCCTTCCTGCACCATTTTCCAATCAATCATAAACACTCACCACAGTTTGCCCCACTAAGAAAAATGGAAACCAAGGGTTTGGCAAAAAGAATCAGCTTAATTAACCAGACATAGACAAAACATTCACAGTAATATTTAAAAGTAGTTGGCTGGATAGCTTAGTGGGTTTACGTATCTGGCTGGCAGTTTTATTCCTCACTGTGCCTCTTGAAAAAATAAAGCCAGCCTGGGTAGCCTTGGGCAAGCTGCAGTTCCAAGGTGCCCCAGAAAAAGGGAAGGGTCAACGACTTCTAAATATTCACTACCTAGAAAACCCTGGAAAGGTTCGCCATAAGTCAGAATTGACATGACGGCACACTATGAATCTGTAAAAAGGAAGCAGACCGAGAAAGACAGTTGAAGAACCGAAATGAATGTATAGAATTCATATGCTGAGGAAAATAAACAACCTTGAAATTTTGGTTGAATGAACCATGGAATCAAGCCCACACCACAGAAATCAGAACAGACATGACCTGGATTGCTTTCCCTAAGATTTCGAATGTAAAATGTTAACAAAATGTTAAAACTGGAATTGAAAATACTCATCATACAGTGTTATGCATTCTTAATCTACTGAATTAATGTTGAATCATGAACTTTAATGCCAGCTACTATAAGTAAGATAGAAGCACTTAAAATGTGCATTTAATGCAGGCTGCTGACGATTTCTTGGACTGAGAAGGTGACCAAGGAAGAAGCATGAAGACAAATGAACGAAGTCCGAGAAATCCTGAAACAAGTGAAATGTAGCAAAGCTAGCATACTTTGAAATCCACAAGCACCAGCAGAACTTCAACAAAAAAGAGGAAAGTTTGAAACTCAACAACAGTTGGCTTCCAGCTCTCAAAATTACAGCGTGCAAAAGGTCAATGAACTCTACCCAGCCACAAGGACAGGGGATCACTAGACACAAAAGACCAGCTAATGACACCCATCAATCACAGAAACAGATAATCTCTCCTCCTTACCACAACAATACACCCACAACAATACACACTAATCACCCATCTCCTGAATAGGACAAAAGCCTATCTCACAGCCATAAATACTCCACTCCCAAACAAACTACACCAGAGCACAGACTGCTGTCCTCGAAGATGCCGGCCACAGAGACTGGTGAAACGCTAAGAAGAACAACCTTCAGAACACGGCCAAAGAGTCCGAAAAACCCACAACAACCACTAACATGCTTTGCTCACATAGGAAGAAAGGGAAAGATTGTTACAGTGGATCGTTCAAGATAAAATAAATGGGGAAAGAAGCACAGGAAGGTGAAAAATGTCTCAGATGAGGAATTTAGGGGTGGGTGGATTTGGAGGCCAACCTAATATCGTTGATTAGAGCTACCACATCTGAAGTCAAACAGTCTTAATGGCATCCAATCTCTCGTAGAGGTAGAAGAAACAGAAAAAGTAAAAAAGACATAGATGAGTTGCAGATCAGTCACATCACGAATCACAGGAAATATAACACTCTTTCAAAATGCCAAGCTGGCCCTGAGCTTAAATTAAGACAGAGATAAAGCTAATTTAACAATCAGACGACATGTGAAGCCAGTCTGTCCCTCCCTCGTCCCCCGGCATTTCTTTTCGTCTTTATAGTTAGTACGAGCTGCACTAATCCTGCCCTGAATTACACCAGCACTGCAAAGCACTCAAAGAGAAGAATATCTAACTATTCCCCCATGCTTCCTGCATTGATTTATACCCTGCCAGATGCTATTTGCTCCCATGGGGAAGATGAAGCCTCTCTGTGGCATGTTTCAGTCTGTACCTCTTTCCACCCTTCCTTCCTTCGGTTCATTTCTTCTTGCCTGCCTCAATTTCCTCCCCATCCTATCGGGACCGAACTTTCTCCATTTCTCTCCTCCGCCAGGCACACTTACGTCTTCAGCAGCAAGAAAGGAGCCCTTGGGGTTTTCGTCCGACTTCTGTCCACAGACTGAGCTCCCCTGAGAGAATTTGGCTAAAAGCAAAAGGGGAAATAATGTGAAGGAAGTAGAGAAAGCAGATGTGCCAGCAAACGGCTTGAGTAAGAAGAGGGGTGATGTGTTTCTGAGATACGCTTTTGGGTATCATTATGGGAAGTCTCCAACGTTATCACTCCAGTTGCTGGAGTGAGCTACTAGCTTCGTATAAACTTTGAGCCATAGCTTGAAAAAGATAATTTCTTTGGGCAACATGACACTCAAAGATCAGACTGGCCACGGTTCTTGGAGGTGGAGTTCAAAAAGTAACTATTCCAAGATCTGTCTTGGGTAAAGAAAAAGCAGTACAGACGTGGAGAGGAAATGAAAGGAAAACTGGGTATCAAGTACCCTTCTCTCTACAATTTAGATCCTGCTCTCTTTCTGTTTTGGAAGTCAGTTCTTTGGATCCTTTATATCTCAATGGTATCTCCTTTTCTAGGGTTGCATGGCTGGCAGCTTTCTATCCCCTGAGATTTGAGGACCAGATTCAAGAAGACGGAAGAGATCCTTGTGATGTCCAGGTACACAAGGGGTCCTTCCAGGCTTTGCACCACAGATGCCAGGACTTGTCTTGAGAAGGAGGCTCAGGAGTTGCGATGCCGGTGCTCTGTACTCTGTTTTGACTCAAAATGGCACAATGGGGGTCAGCTCTTGCATACCTCAACACTAGGAATGAGGGGAAGACACTGGAGAGAGTGAGCTGGTTGGGGCATACAGTTGATCCTAATGTGTGAATTGGAGTTACACACACACACACACACACACACACAAACCACCACTTCTTCAAGCTGAGCCAACAAACCCTGGCACCAACTGTGAGGTGGAGGTAGGCAGTGGAAGTTCAAATCCACCTCACACATACAAACCTCAGACAATTTTCTCCAACCAATCTGCTGAGATTCGCAATTCTTAACCATTAGTCATGCTGGCTCCGACTTATAGGAGATGATATTATCCAAAATATCTGGCCAGCCAAAAGATCCCTATTCTTGAACCACAGTGCCAAAGGATGAATGAGTACTACTGGGTCACTCTCTGGGTTACTTGGAGCTAGACACTCTCGGAGCGTCTACCTCCCTACTTTGCAAGGCTGTACAGTGTGAATGAACTGGGAGGGACCAGAGCAATAGATACTATCAGGAGCTCAATAAAGGATAGGCAGGATAGAAATATAATATGTAAGTAATACTTGCACATAAAACATAACTAAATAAATTTGCCATTCACCAGTCTCTTGTAGTTAAATGTCAATAGGCTACCCCATCAAATATATCCTTTTTCCTAAAATTATTTTTCACAATGTGGTTATGGCTCTCTCTCTCTCTCTCTCTCTCTCTCTCTCTCTCTTAGCTTCTTTCCTCATAGACAAACTGTGATGCTAAATATAGGACTGTCTTGGTTTTATCTCGTTAGCTGTGCTGACCAAATCAAAAAGGCCAACGGAATAAGCCCTTTCTTCAGTCTTTCCTTCTTGGCCCTAGTTGGTGATAGCCATAAATGTTGACATTCTTTCTGTTCTGAGTCTTCCTACTCCCTCCAAGTGACAAAAAAAGCCGGTTCATATGGGGTATCTATCTGTACACCAGAATTAAATTTCCCATGGATTCCAGGTGACGGCTATAGGCTACCAGTACTCACCACTTAGAAAATGTTGAGCCTAGGCCTCCATCTGGACAAGAGGAAGAAAACTGACTGAGAGTGAAAGAGAGGTGGTAAGATTATTCGAAGTGTGTTTCAGAGAAGATAAGAACAACCTTTAGATCTACTTGCCTGTGTGATGGAAAAGAAACAGTTTTCAAGCATCTCTCTGCACTAGATGTATAAGGAGATTATATTGTTGGGTCGGTGGGTGTAGATGATTGTCTCCCTGCCGTTATGTCACTTCTTCAGCGAGGTGTCATCTGATAAAACAGATTTAGATGGGGACGGTAGGTGGGCCCTAAATGACAAGCTCAGGGCAGTTAAGAAAAGGAAATTCAACCTTGGTGTAATGGAGTCACATGTTTGTACATCACTGGTGCATCTTAGCTCAGACATGGTGTTTTTGAGAGAGATGTGGTTGGAAGCTCTTAAACAGATATGCAAATCTTAAGAAATTGTGTCGTGATATATAGTTTATTGCTCCAGACTATTTTTGAATAATTACTCGCCGGATAGCTCAGTGGTTTAGGTATTTAAACCAGACGAGGGAGTTCAATTCCCAACTGTGTCTCCTGGGAGGAGAACCAACCTGTGTGGCCTTGGGCAAGCTGCACAGTCCCAGGGTGTCCCAAGAAGAAAGGAATGGTGGATCACTTCGGAGTTACCTGGGAAAACCCTGAAAGAGGTCATCATTAAGTCAGAACTGACTTGATGGTGCATGATTATTATTATAATACAATTGTGAAGAAGATCAGTCAAAAATAGACGAGATTGGACTCAGTGGTTCCTTCGAGGGCCATCTTAGAGTCAAATATCTGAAACCTGGAGGTACCATTCCTGGATTCACATGCTCCTCTCCTTCTCTTGCTTGCTAAACAATCTGGTAGGACTAAGTCAGAAAGATGCTGTTTGGGTTTCTACCTACACAATAACACAACAGTGACCAATTGCTAGCCATGGACCAAGGTGCATCAACACAGTCAACAGTGGTGTCTCTGTTGCAAAAATCTGGCAAACATAAGGTTCAACACCTTAACCGAACACTAGGAGGTGCTTAGGGATGTACAGTAGCAGATTTTGGAATGCAATGGCATGAAAATTAATATATATCTCCTGTAGCCCAAATTGGAACGGCAACTCCAAATCTAAAGTGGCTTCTGGAATGGTAGAATATACCAGATGGGCGGGATATAAATCGAACAAATAAATAAATAAATAAATTCATTGGAATTGAGAGTGGGTGGGGAATATAGTGAAGGAAAACAGGTTGCACCTAGTTGTCTTTATTTTTCACTGATCATCATCTCCCACATAAGCATTGTGTTGATCTGCTAAAGAGATTCACAAGACATTTTCAAGGAAGTTGCATCTTCCACACAAGGCAACTTCGAACAAGGATCCTGCTGTCTATCTCAAAAAAGATTGTCCTACAGCGATTTTGTTGTATGCGGGGCAATCGTTAAGCGAGACACCACTGTATATATTTTCGGTAGCCCATATTGGAACGACAACTCCAAATCTAAAGTGGCTTCTGGAATGCATTATGGATATTCATTGGAATTTAGAGTGGGTGGGGAATATAGTGAAGGAAAACAGGTTGCACCTAGTTGTCTTTATTTTTCACTGATCATCATCTCCCACATAAGCATTGTGTTGATCTGCTAAAGAGATTCACAAGACATTTTCAAGGAAGTTGCATCTTCCACACAAGGCAACTTCGAACAAGGATCCTGCTGTCTAATGAAGAATTCTAGCATTTTTGCCTTTTGTTTGTTTCTTCAAGTTTGAGAATCCAGGGACATCTTCCCACCTCATTGATTCCAGGTTCTAAGAGCAAGAAACCCTATTTAGATGGTAAAGAAGGGTTTAAAATCAGCATGAGGAAGGATGTACCTAAATCTTTGTCCACTTTCCTTTGCTCATGGGAAAAATCAGGTTTCCAACGAGCAAAGTCTTTCTAGACATGTCCAGTCTCCATGCAAATTAAAACTCGGCATGTTCCAATAAGGTTCTGGCTTGCATGTAGACCTTCTAGGCATAAAAAAAGTTTTCCTTCTCAGAAGTACAGTGGTGGCTCGCGAGACGATGATAATCCGTTCCACTGAAATTACTGTTTAGCGAAATCATCGTCTAGCGAATAGCATTTCCCCATTGGAATGCATTGAAACCTGTTTAATGCGTTCCAATGGGGAAGAATCGTTGTTGTCTAGCGAAGATCGGCCATAGGAAAGCTGCTTTGCGAACCGCTGATCAGCTGTTTAAATCGCTGTCTTGCTATGCTTAGGTCCTGAAAACACCTGTTTTGCAAGCGCGGAGGAAGGTGTCAAAATCGTCGTCTAGTGAAAATTGGTTTGCGAAGCAGGGACTAAACATTGTCCAGCGAAATTCCTCCATAGGAATCACTGTTTTGTGAATCGCTATAGCGATCACAAAGTCAATGTCTAGTGAAAAAACTGTCATGTGGGGTAACTGTCTAGCGAGGCACCACTGGTACTACTTTTTCCACATGAGCAAAATGGCAAGAGGGTGTAGTGGGGCTACTGCTTCCTTCCTTGAGGCTAGTTTTACAACCTCCCTCCCTTGAAGGCCTTGATTTTACCCATCCTGAAGATCCAAATAGGACTATACCGCTGCATCCACGCCCATACACAACCTTGTCCGTTGGAAATACATGAGAATATTAAGAATACTAGGAAGAACTAAATAAAAACAAAAGGGCTGTAACGCTGTTAAGACTCACAAATCTATTTCAGCTAGAGGTGTTTTTTTTCCAATTGTAGCACACTTCTTCACACACCATTGGACTGCAATTGAGCAACAAACTTCACACTGAAATGAGTTTGTTCGTTTTAAATGTGCTGCATCGCTACCATTTTTTAAAAATTGTTCTTGCGGTTTTATCCTTGTTGACCTCTCTGAAAATTTTTTAGGTAGCATCCAGTGATCTCATTCCAAAGCAAATACAGTGGTGTCTCGCAAGACGATGTTAATTCATTCCACGAAAATCGCTGTCTTGCAAAAACATTGTCTTGCGAAACGCAGTTCCCCATTGGAATACATTGAAATCTACTTAATGCGTTCCAGTGGGAAAATCGTCATCTTGCAGAAATCGTCCATAGAAAACATCGTCTTGCGAAGCGCAACAGCGATCGCAAAAACTAATCGTCTTGCGGCTTAATCATCTTGCGAAGCAATTGTCTTGCGAGGCGCCACTGTCGTTTCACAGGTATGTGCTGTGTTGGAGTTTTATTTGCAACCTTGCACACTGTCTGCAGCTTGAAGGGACTTTTATGGGTTGCGGTGATCGTCTATCTGTCCAGAACTATCCAATCATATATTTCAGTTTTTTAATTCAAAGAGAGGTCCACCTTCCTGCTAAATATTTTCCCTTCTCTCCTGTCCATTGGCATCAAGTTGTTTCTTTGCTGTTGATCAGTTGGTTGCTAAACATGTGTGCAGAAAAAAAGCAGCATGCACAAGTCTATGATTTCAAGCAACTGTAAGTAAAGAAATTCTTCCCCC